GGGGCGGCCGGGGGGCGGGCCCCGCCGCTGAGTCACCGCCCGGCCGCCTCCTTTGTTGTCAGGCGTGGAAAAATCCGGGGTGGGAGAGCCTTGGCTGGCTGGCTGGAAACCCCCAGAGAAAAAGGGGTTGGGAATAAAAGGGGGGATGCGGGATTGGGGTGGGGGGGCGGCCGCCGGGACCAAGCTTGACCCCCTTCCCGGGGGTGTGAGGCACCCACGGGTGGATTTCATACCCCCTGCCCGAGGGCCTTGGTCCTCCTGAGTGGCCCCGATCACCCGCAGGAGCCACCTCACTGAAAGGGTTATCAAGCATTAGAATGGGCTGCCCAGGAAAGTGGTTGAGGCACCATCCCTGGCGGGGTTCAAAAGATGGTGCTGGGGGACATGGTTTAGTGATGGGTTTTTTTGTCTGAGTTGGGCTGATGGTTGGACCAGACAATCTTGAAGGTCCCTTCCAACCTAGATGATTCTATGATTCTATGGAGTACACAGACTTTGGTAATGAACCACCCCACCTCCCCAAAAAAAAAGAAAGACCTTTGGGGATGGAATGTGTATTTATTAATTGGTGCACATACTTGGGTTGAATTGGTTTCTTTTGTGTATTTATCCCTAGGGTTATTTTGCCTTTCTTCAGAGCAGATGATTTGGGTCCCAGCAAAGCGGCAGCAGCAACTTGAGTCATCCCAGGGATGGCAAGCTTCAGAAGAATTTGAAGACCTCACTAACTTGAGGAGCTGAGCGTTAAACGTCACTTGTGCTGCTGAGGCAGACTCTTCCCCTCCAAAAAACCCCAACCCCAACAAGTCCCCGCAGGAAGGATATTGGGTGCTCAGTAGATGGTGCTATTTCCAGCAAATTTGTCCTAAATAATCCATTGCCCCATCATGATAAGGGGAGCGAGTGGGTAGGGAGAATGTGTTTTGTGTGGGGCAAGGCTGAAATCCTGTGTGCGGGTACGGTACTAGAAGGCTGCTGAGGTCTTTGTGTGCAGCTGTTCCTTCAAAAAAAAAAAAACAGCCAGGGTGAAAGCCAGCAATTGGATGAAATCCAGAGCATGGGTGGCCACTGTCAGTTCTGGTTCACAGAATCAGAATCACAGAATCACATGTGGTTGGAAGGGACCTCTGGAGATCATCTAGTCCAACCCCCCTGTCAGAGCAGGTCCACCTAGTGTAGGTTGCACAGGAACTTGTCCAGGTGGGTTTTGAATGTCTCCAGAGAAGAAGATTCCACCACCTCCCTGGGCATGCTCTGCCACTCTCAAAGTAAAGAAGTTCCTCCTCATGTTTAGGTGGAACTTCTTATAGTCAAGTTTGTGCCCACATTTGAGTTCAATTCGAGTCTGTCGCCAAGCAGCAACATATGCAATCACAGCTATGCTGTGAACAGACAAAATGTTATAAAATACCACATGGTCCTCAAAAAGTCACTTGTGACATAACAAGTCGGACACCCCTTTGTGTTGTCCATATTCACAGTGTCAGCCCTGGTTATGGGCAGCCTCACAGGATGCCATGAAGACGATCAGAGGCTGGAGCATCTCTGCTGTGAGGACAGGCTGAGAGAGTTGGGGTTGTTCAGCCTGGAGAAGAGAAGGGTCTGGGGAGACCTTAGAGCCTCTTCCAGTACCTGAAGGGGACCTACAGGAGAGATGGGGAGGGATTCTTTATCAGGGAGTGTAGGAATAGGGTGAGGGATAACAGTTTTAAACTAAAAAAAAAGGTAGATTTACATGAGATATTAGGAAGAAATTCTTTACTCTGAGGGTGGCGAGACACTGGCCCAGGTTGCCCAGAGAAGCTGTGGATACCCCATCCCTGGAGGTGTTCAAGGCCAGGCTGGATGGGGCTTTGAGCAACCTGGTCTGGTGGGAGGTGTCCCTGCCCATGGCAGAGGGTTTGGAACCGGATGATCTTTAAGGTCCCTTTCAACCCAAACCAGTCTATGATTCCCCAGGTGCCCTTTCTTTCACAGGAGTGCCGTGAATTATAGTTGTGCTGTATGTGGAGCCCATGGATACCATATGGCAGAAAAACTTCATAAAAATTGATTTTTTTGGTTATTAAATGCAGTAAAATGATGTGCCTGGACGAACGAGGGATTATAAATATTGAATAATTCCCTGTTCTGTAAGCAACCCTCCGTCTGAAGCATGGGAGGGGGAAACAGTATATGACCAGGGAATTGCAAACAGCAAAGAAAATGAACTGCAAGGCCAGCTGGAATGCTGCATTTCCCTATCTTTTGGATTCTTGACCTTATGGACCTCTCCATATCGTTTCTGTATGTAAGCATTAATCATTTGTATCCTGAAGGCACTTCGTAGCCCCGATCAAGTCTTTATCTCCGTTTCTGCAAACACTACCGGGCAGTTGTCCCTGCTCTGGAATCTCACACTTGGCATCAGTGTTTCCCAGCCCAGACAGCTATTTTGTTGCGCTGTGTACCCTCTCCCCAGCAGATCCCGCACATCCACACCTTTGAATGGAATTTAACGCTTTGCTGAGGCCACCAAAAATGTCTGGGTGTTCTGCCAGGGCTTGTCAGAGGAGCACAGGCACTTCTTCCGGTGATAGCTACTTTGTTCCAGTGTTTCCTTCAGTCTCAGGGTGTGGGTTTGTGGTGTCCTTGGCCACACCACGTCCAGATTTAGCGAAGTCCCTCCCCACAGCTACTATCAGCTTGTGTTCCATGAAATGATTGTAACACTGTGTAACCCCTGAGCTACCATGGTTGTATCCAGACTTGAAAACTGTTGCTGGACATAAGTGGGTAAGAGGAAGATTTGGGAGAGGCAGAACATCCTCACATCTGAGGACCAACGATGGCTGAGATCAACCTGTTATCATAGAATCATAGAATGGTTTGGGTTGGAAGGGACCTTAAAGATCATCTAGTTCCAACCCCGCTGCCATGGGCAGGGACACGTCCCACTAGACCAGGTTGCCCAAAGCCCCATCCAGCCTGGGATTATCTTAGAGTCTTCCTTCCTTACGCAATGCCTCGTACAAGACAGTGGCCAAACGATAGCTCCGAGTCAAGCATCTCACAAACAATTTAAGGTGTCATCTGATTGCCTG